GCTTAAAAGGTTCTGAGAGCTGATAACCAAGTCTCCCTGACGTTGGTGAGTGCGGGGCTCTAAGGAATAATTGCGTGTTTATTATTCGTTATTCCTTTTCAGAGTAAGTGAAATTCGTTGTTATCATTAAGATGAGAAATAGTGTTGTTTTCTGTGCTAATAAAACGGTAAACTTGAACGTGCTTCATCCGTGTGTTGATAATTAAAGAAAAAATTGCAAGCGTTTGAGCTCCAAGATATGATGCAAAACATTGTATTGAGGAATTTAAAGGAGCGAGGAATCATCTTTTACCAACGCAACCTACGACAAGACAATTTTTTACCGCTAAAGAACAAATTAGAGTTCTTCCGTGTTTAACGTTTTAAATAAAATCGAGACCAAAGATTTGCCGCAGTTCAACTGGCCTTTTAAGTAAAGTAAAAAACAGTAAACAGTAAACAGTAACGCATTTGGTAGACTTGTTGTTGACTTGCAGCCGACTTAGAATGGATTCCTTCATTTCTCTTCCGTTAGTTTCTCCCTCCGTCTATTTTTTTTTAGGGCATTTTTGTTTGTTTACTTGTTTGGTTTGGTTTGCGTTAAATTTATAGGCTAGAAAAAAAACGTCTAGGCATATTCCTAAATAATATATACTATTCAATTTCAGCATCGGTGGTGATGGCGTGGAATTCAAGCTTCTTTATCATCCTGGCCTCTTTGTATTTCAAAGACCTCGCTATTGCTAAAAATCCGTGCAAGACAGGAGTTAGCGTACCCGGTATGGCTCTCAAAGGATTCGTCTTTAAAAAGGTCCCAGTAACAGCTCCTCACGTGTGCGATGTCACCTGCGAGAGGGAGACGATATGTCAAAGCTACAATTATGTAATTGGGGAAAAGTCCTGTGAAATTAAATACCCGAACCAAGGAAGCAAGGCCCGAAAATTTCCAGCCAGATGGTTTACGCTTTTACATGGGACGCATTAGTGGTAGAAGTATGTATCCGGTTTAGTTTATTTTACATACAAATCTTTCTCAGTGAGTTCCTAGTAAGACCTCGCTTCTTTCCGAGAGCTGGTGTCCGATTGCTTTGTTATTAAATAGGGTCAGTTTCTTAAAGCAAAATTCGCCTTCCATACATATATTGATATCAGCTAAACTACTCAACTCGTAATTATTGTTATTCCATGTTTATCTTGCTCGGACAAACATATTTTCAGATCTAATCTGTTTTTCAACTTCTATTACCCTTAAACCATTAATGAAGTCATGTCTATATATTAGCCCCCTTAGGATCTATTCCTGAATTACCAGCGTTATCGTGTCAAGAGATAAAATTAAGTGAAGGTAAAGACAGCATCAGTAAAAATTACTGGTTGGATCCAACTAATGGCGGGAGCTCAAAGTTGGTTTACTGCGACATGATTTTGGAAGGTAAGTCAGTATACCAAGAATAGAATTTACACAGCGTTTGGTCTACCTTTGCCCTGGCCTTTTGTGAAATTTTTTCACCTTGTCTCAGTGATTTCTTCGATTAATTTTCAAATAGACATCGATGAATGTAAAGGCAGCAATAAAGTTTGTGACGAAAATGCAAACTGCTCCAATACTGTTGGGTTTTATAATTGCACCTGCAAAGAAGGGTTTACTGGGGATGGACGCTCGTGCTTAGGTAAACTAGTTACAGACACGCCGAGGTACAATATTTAATTATTTTTCGCCTAAAAACACTGGAGGTACATTTGAGCTATCAACAATCGAGTAAGTGAATAACAGACCAATAATACCTAGCATGCTATATCAGTGGACCCTTAGCATTACACAATGCAATTTTAGCAGGAACTACTGACCTACTTTCTTTTAAACAGCATTACCCATACATGTTTATGCAAGGAGCTGCCATGATCTCCATCCGGTTTGTTTCAGAGCCATCATGTTAGGAGACTAAAATATAGCATTGGAGAAGAGAATATAATATCTAGGTTGCATGTTTCAAAAAATTACAAAAGACGAAAAAATAAAAGTGCAAAATGCATTTACGGTTTCTCAGATATTGACGAGTGTAAAGGAAATCACTCCTGCCACGTGAATGCTAAGTGCAATAACACCCTTGGATCACATATATGTGAATGTCAGCCTGGATATACTGGAAATGGACAAAACTGCACAGGTGAATTTAATTTCTTCGTTACGATATTTGGACGTGACTGCACAGGTATTTGATGTGTTTCTTCTGTAACCGTTCCCATCAGAAAAAAGAAAAGCACTATCATCGTTGCAAGACTTGTTTTGCCAGCATACCTTGTGTAAAAAAAAAGATGAGTGTAGGCTAGAAGACAATGTTGATAATGACACAATTGTATTAAATAAGCATTCACTGGTAAAAAATCTCAACTGGTAAAGGGAGACTTGATGGATGGGCTTACAGGACAGAACAGCAGATTTAAACTCGCGGGGAACCAAGAAAAAATCTAGTGAGCTTTAAAGTGAAGTGCATGCTTGCGTCTAGGACCCAAGAAAACAAGACTAAGGTTTCTAAGCATATGCTCGGCAACTTCTTCCCAATTGCATTTTTAAAATATATTATTTTTTATGTTTATGATTTTACAGATATTAACGAGTGCAAAGGAAATCACTCTTGTCACGTGAATGCTACATGCATGAACACCCTTGGATCACATGCATGTCAATGTCATGCTGGATATACTGAAATGGACAAAACTGCTCAGGTGAATTTAATTTCTTCGCTACAATATTTTTTAATAGTTCTGTTTGCCTTCCGGCTACATCGCCGCACCATTTAACCGCGTTGCAAGACAATTAGGTAATTAATTACTCATTACTGGTTTTGATTTAGGCAGCCATTTCTCATGTTAAGAACCTCTTAGGTAATGTCCCTGACTTTTAAATGAACAATTTTGGTGACTGATGCGTTGTTCTGCTTTAAAATTAACCTTATCACAATGACTGACAGGAGCATGAAAATAAAATCGCTCGTCTGGCTCTGAACCCTGTGCACAGGATGGATATGTAAGTGATTCTCCATAGCGCTACGTTTTCGTTGACGCTCAAGATATATTTGAGTAAAGAAGTTGAAAATTATTATCATTAAGTTTTGTAAAATAATCAAGATACTACGAGCGCCCTGATTAGTCGGAAAAAAAAAAAATCAATCAATCGCTCCAACTCGGAATTACAAACTTTTCTCGTGTCCTCACAACATCCCGCGTGGGTTATCTCGCCAGTAAACTGATAGAAAGAGTGATGAATAAAGGGGGTAAGTCTCTAAAGAAACTGTGGCGCTGCGTCGGTGTGAGAGTATAACAGGGTAATTAGGTAGTATCACCCGAGTTGATGTAAATTGGCCACCGTAAAGAGTTTTAAAGCTAACACTCGAAACGCCAGTTTCGTAACTCTTTACGGTGACCAATTTACATTATTAATTCAGTTGATGAAACCAAATTATCTCACGAATAAGATTCGTGGCAAATGCTAAAATTAAAAAAAAGGGAAAAGGGGAAAGGAAAAAACTTTTACAGGAATGAGATGTTGACTCCTAAAGAGATTGTATATTTTTCTCTGACCTTATCTGACCAAGTCTTCAACAACTTTTTTTTTTTACTATGTACGTTCTCTCTCAGACGTTGACGAATGCAGCGAGGCCCATCCCTTCAATATGAGCAAATGCCATCCGAATGCATCTTGCACTAATACCCAGGGCTCATACAACTGTTCTTGCAATCCTACGTTTATTGGAGATGGTTTTGATTGTGAAGGTTAGTTTGGTTTTTGAAGGCAGTGAAATGTTTATTTTGTTTCCCACCTTGAATGTAGCAGTAAATTGCTTAGATGCACAAGTGAATGTATGCCCACAGTTCCAGCTGGACTTTCGGTAATCTGCCTCTTCTCCTCCAAGGAGTTCGAGGAGAAAAGTGGCAGCACAAAAATCTTGGGATTTTTCTCAAACAAGCTATCACTTGACATAGGGATTTCCTCGTGTTTTTCATCGTTTATCTCATCCTTCCAACGAGCAACAGCCCGTTAAAAACAATTTCCATCCCCGCTGACAAAGACTTCTCTCCTGTGGAGGTATATTTTCAGACGTCGTAATTTTGTATGTTTAATGCGTTAACAGGTATGAATCTAGGCTGTACATACCTAAATACAACTGAAAAGACTTGAATGAGTTATTTCCTAACGATTTATGGCTAATTTTGTAATATGTCGAGACCATTACGCCATGACGATTTCACATTAGACCTTACGCAAAGAGAGAAGTTTATCGGTACGTTTTATATTTCGTGTTCATTGTAAAAAAAAACTACACTTTCCGCGTATCAACATTATCTTAATCCATTTATGATAAAACTGCGGCAAAAAGCGTTGATCTCTCTCCAAAATAAGGTTTTTAGGACGTCGAAACAACCTTTCACCATACATTTTATTTTAGCGAGTTGCAATGTTTGCCCTGTGGCGATCCCAGAAATCTTTGCGCAAACACAAGGATCCGATTACTGGCAACTCATTCATTCGCGTTATGATTATAAATAATTGTATGATGCTAATAGATAGAGAGTCATTGTACACTCCCGGGACTTAATTGTGTTACTAATTGGGTTAATTGTAGGAACTGAAGATCAAAAATGTCTTAAACGCATTTGGTAGCATCCAGTTCAGGTACAAACAACTACAGGCTTTGATGGGCGATTAAAACAAGAGTTAACATAACTCTTTATGATGCTATCATTTCAGTTTAGTTCCTATTTGCATCATCATTGTCCAATCCAAATTCTTCTTTAAATTTTACTTAACGCATAGTTGTTCTTGTAAAACGTTAGTCCTATCTAACTGTTGTCGAACTAACTAACTTGAAAAAATGTCAACAAAAAAATGTTATCTTTGTTACTACAACCTTTTCTTGAAATTTTTATTTCATTTACTAGCCGACCCATGTTATAATTATCAAATCCTGAGTGATGCCAATAGAAAGAGCAGTTACGTTACACCGGATTATGGACCATATTTGTGTGACAACTTACTACCCGTGGGATGGTATCGTTTTGTGGGAGCTGCAGGAACAAGAATGCCAACAACGCGTGTGCCAGCATACAGATGTGGTACAGCCAGGTCAGGCTGGTTGGATGGTGCTCATCCTACAGTGGAAGATGATTACGTTCTTCGGACGGTCTGCTTTAGTGATCACTCTGCCGGTTGTAAATACTCAATAACTATTTCTGTAAAAAACTGTGGATCCAACTTCATCTACAAACTTGAACACCCACCTGGTTGTCCCTCACGCTACTGTAGTACAGACTGAATGCGAAGCAAATTTGCTTCGTGTAGTAAGAGGACTAATAAATCGCTCCGTAGGTACATGTGTACAAGGTTTTGACATGCGACGTATTCAACTTTTCTTCTCTATCGTCAACATTATCAGTAGATTTTAACTTTGGCGGCAAACAAGTATTTATTTCATTAGAATGATAATTCTCATCGGATAGCCTTTGTCATTGAAGAGAGAATTGCCTGAAGGATCTTTAAAATAATCTTCAAGTAAAATCACTTTGGTCACTTTGTGGCTCAGCCTCTTGAGTGGTGTAAATATGAGGGGCATCGTGTATACTATCTTATAATTTAACAAAAACTAAGTATCGCTTCGCAAATACATTTAGCTTACACGGATTAATTTCAGCCGAGTTTCATAAAACGAACACGACAGTGAATGTTAAGAGCAGTGTAGTCCATGGGTCACAATAGGTTCTCGATACCACTCATCAAATGAAAGGTTATGTGAAAGACTCTTCAAATTCACTTGATAGCAATCGCGAAAGAGTAGCTTTCACGCTTTTTTAGTGGAGTTAATGTCAATAACTAGGGAAAATATCAACAACAACAAGGAAATTTTCGGGCAAATGCATGAAACCAGAACCAAGTGAAGTAAAAAAAGAGCCATCGATCAAAACTGGTTTTAACTTTACAACTCAACGATTCAGTAACGAATCGTTGTTGAGATTCGTGGAGAAAGTTGTTGAAAAAGATTTTAACGTAAGGAACAGAAAAAGGAAACTAAGGTAATAATTTTTAACAAAATATTGAACATTTTTCTTGATCAATTGCAAGTAATTTTCACAAGTAGTGTTTGAACTATTTAATGGTAATTAAAAAAAAAAAAACCTTGCAAAAGGCATCTCTTGTACCTCATGCCTTTGTTAGTGCTAAGGGGATGTACATAAATATGATACTCTCGCAAGGGACAGGGGGTTCTTTATAAAAAGAACGATGGGAGAAATCATTGTTATCCTTAGGACCTGAGAATAGTAATGGATACCTCTTGCATTGTTATACATAAATTGCTCTGAAAAAATTCGTTTTTATATGCTGCTGGTATATGAAGTTACCGATAAAATGTATAAACGCACTGGCGGTTAACTTCGCACGGTTAATATATTTTTTCATAAATGAATCCGTCGGAACTGTTGCAGAATAAAGCCTGGTAATAAAACCCCGTGCTGTAATATTGCCCATCGTCTCCCGTTGCCGGATTGCATTATTTATCCTGTCGATGTCATCTGTCCGGCAGAAGGAAGTGAATAACGTTTTCGTACACCACAAATGTGAGTGCACATGCTGGCGTTACTCTAAAAGAAACAAAACAACAACAATCAAACAGACAATAAACAGTATAGTCAAAATGAACCTGTTTCCATAAATTACGGTTTCAGGGTTTCTTCTACAGCGCTTCTTTGCTGGATTCCCAAAATTTGAAAAAAAAAAAAAAAATAGAAAACCGCTAAAACTTACACTAACGCACAAATACTTGTGATAACGATAAGTATCTTAATTATTTCACAGTATTCGAACATGTAACTGACAAAAACAATGACATGACACCTACTCCGAATTTTATAGCCTCTTAATGTATCTATCGCCTGTCTCTTCCTCCCAGTTTCTCACAGACTAGAATGTGCAAATAAGTTCAAACACCTTATGGGGGTACCCCATCTCTTAAGACCCTTTTCTTTACAAAGCGCCACACAAAATTAAAGATGAGAGCCCACTAGGCCCTCTTGGCCAATTCTAGATTATACATTGCGGTTTAACACATAAAACTAACTAGCAAATCTACTTGCATCATCAAATTTATCTTTAACATTCTGCCTTACCTGAGGACACTGGGAATTAATCCTTTGTAAAATCCTGTTACTCCTTCATGCCTAACATTTTGAAAAGAACCTGCCGTGAGAAGAGGCCAGAAAAAGAAGAATACCTTCTTTCGTGAAAATGTAGACTTTACCACTAAGCCGTAAGTCAATCCGAAATGGATTCAGTACTCAAACAAGCTGGTTTCAGTTCTCCGCCAATTTTGGTCCAGTTCTTCGTCAAATTGTTTCAAAGGGGCAAAACATGTACCTCTCTTTAATGTAGAGGGTTTGAAACTAGAGATGGAAAGCTAGTCTGTGACGTATCTAAAACTTTAAGTTCTTATATTAAGTTCCAACTTACCTGAAAGTCTTACTAATCACATCCAACGCGCCTTTGTATTCCACCATCGTATACTGATTCTTTAGAAAAGTAAAATTCATGAACAATAAATGACAGCAGGAAACAGTAAATAACGAACGATTTAACAAAAGAATCTTGTTGCTTAAAGATAGCTCCTGATATATTCAATTGGTTTTAGCTAATTTTATGGGCACAGGATCAGAACTTTCGCGCCGTGCGTTCCCATAACCATCTTGGATCCGTGTTTCTTAAGAGGAATGGAAAGAGTGAAAGAGGGTGAAAGCTACTCTCCCTCATGAGAATTGATATTTATCCACATTGTAGGGTTTCCTGGCCTTTTGTTGGTGCTCATTTGAACCACTGGGAGGGGGATTTGTGGGGCTAACTAATCTTTTCCCAAGGAACCGACACAATGACCTAGCTGAGGGCTCGAGGCTCAAGCACAGACTTCATCAACCTGGAGTCCAGTAAACCAACCGATGAGACCACCGGCCTGAAAACTAAAAAAAACCTTAAACTACAAGTTTATTTCAAAATAATAGCATACAAAAGTAAAACAAAATCGATTTCAAAAGGTTAATAATTTGCTAATGAATCTCCCATTCTAACCTGAAGTCTTGCTCTAACCACTTGATAAGGATATGTCGCTGTTGCGGCGAAGATTTTCGACAGTGAAGCCATTACAAGGTACTCAGTTGAACTCTATGAAGAAAATGAAAGTTAGCAAAACATAAATTAGAGAGCAAAACATTTTATATAAAAAAAAGAACTACTACATTTTCAGCACTTCAGAGTGATTCCCAAGATAACGTATACATAATAATAAACGTCATCCTATTAGTACCTTCCTACCAGCCACATGTACAACAAAGGTAATAGAGGTTGTCTTTTGGGCGTCAGTTGTAGCTTCAAAATGCTGAAGCTCGTCATGGAGGATGACTACTCAAGATGAGAAGCCAAAAACGCCCCCCACCCTTCCCTCTCTCATGTTCTCCCTTTACATTCGCCACTGGCCATTACATGTGTTCGTGTTAACCCTTTACACCCTGACATCAATATCCATCTTCTCCATACTGTTCTCTGTACATTTCCAAAGATACTGACAAGGAGAATTTCTTAAACAGTCAAGAACTTTTTCGGTGGCTGAATATTTCCTCTATTCTCATGACCTCCATGTGTGATTCAGAGGTGATATTGTAAGGAGAAGTTAGATGTCAGTCAATCTTAGGGGGGCAAAGGGTTGATTCTTATCAATCCTTCTGGGTGGAGAGGGGGAGTTGAGAGTAAAGTTTCGTTCCAGTAAATGACAACACTTCAATCATACACACCTAACCTATGAACATGATCAGAGTAAAAGCACTTCACATGTTCTGTTTGTCAAGGTTTAAGACCAAGACTTTCTTGTTTGCTAACTCGGTTGAATTTGTGAGCTTTAGCGCGTATAAAATCAACTATACAGACACGTGCAGACAGTATTCACCAGCTTCTTGTTGATTGGTGTTCCAAAATATTGACTGTAGCCTTTCTTCAACTCCTCATAGGCCATGAATTGCAGTGCTCCGTGCGATACGCCAAAAACACCTGGAACGTAATCCTGGTCAAGTAAAATAAAATGATATGAGCAAATTTCATGTTCCATCCAAACACATAAACTCAGGTTAATCACTCACAATACCATTATCTAAGCCAGGCAAGATAGTGGGGTCTTAAAAAAGGCTGAAATAGCTTTGTATGGTTCCTGACTCTGAGACTGATGTTTATGCTTCTCTTTTGTTTTTGCGCTTACCTTCCCTTTTTCTCTTTTTTGATTGTTTCCCTCCTTTTTTTTTGGAGGTTTGAAAACCACTGCTGGCTTAGTGCATATGCAGCAACCAAAACATACTAACTACAATATTAAGAACAAGTCTCTGTAAGAATCAAACATCTTGAGAAATGAAAATTTTCAACCCTCCTTCAAATTTTGCATGCAGTTAGGCACTCAGGAGGGATGCACAAAATGCCCTTTTAAAAGGTCGCAGCACTCTTGTTGCCATGGTAACAACGGCTGCTTGTTCGAGGCCTGGGGACCCATTTTCATACAAAAACGTCGCAAAAAAAAGTGAAATGTTTATTTCTCTATCTCAAAGCTAAATACAACATTACAAATTGGCCCTTGTACCATATATAGTGACATCATTCATCTACACTTTAATTCATTCAATTTACCCTGGGAGTGAATGTGAACACACCAATAGATTATTCATCTCGGTACAGTTTCGGTCATTTTGCTGTCGGGTAAAACAGGGAAAACGTTTATCTAAATTTCTCCAAAAGTACACCAACACTGGAACTGAAACTACCCACCTAGCTTGTTATAATATTCTAGTTTTTAAATATGTAAAAATCTCTGCGGTCCTGCCCCTACTTTTTATAGGGGCAGTTCGCGAAAAAAGCTCAAAATCAGATATTGCATAATTTGGCGATGTTTACATCTAATGTTCTCAACAACAAATGTTTCAGATAAATGAAACGAGCGAGGCTTTGGAAGAATGTTATCTTATGAGTAATATCCCGAAGAGAAATCTCGCCTTTGGAAGTCATCTTTTAAAAAAATTGATTAAACTTCATGGAGGACTACCCGACGTAACTACAAACATATGCCTCAAATCGTGTGCATATCATCCAGATTCCGAGTGCTGCACCTTCTTTCATGGGAATTTGAGCGATCCGAAGTCCTCTGAAGATACACTGTTATACTTGTATGTCATTTGAAACATGTTGAAGTCAGCTAATCTATACCAAACTATCCTCACACCAATCATTTGTCAAAAACATGTACGTTGTAACGACGGCATGGCGCTGTATTTCTCCATGAAGTTTCCCTCGATCGCTCCAAAGAAGACGAGAAATGGCCATTTTTGGATATATCAGCAGATTTTCGCGCATTCTAAGTAAAAAACAGCCAAAAAAAAAGAAGAAAACCTCAATTGAACACTCGTAAACACTGGGAATCTGAGAGCAGAAATCGCAGCTTGTCAGCGGCAGTACTACATGTAAAACTCAGTCGCAACAATGGCAATTTGTACGACGCGAAAATCATCACAAAGTGGAGATTTTGAACTACTCAGTATCCCTGCAGTACAGAAAATGGAATAGGGATTTCATCACAATCAATTTCCAAAATTTAGCTTTTTTCAGGGAGTCTTTCACCTGCTCGAACGTTATATTGGCTTTGAGCCTTGAGATTTATTTCCCGTGACAATAAAATGTTCTAGAAAGTGCTTACAAAATTACAAAGGAACTATTTTTGGTGTCGCTTGGACCGAGAAATACAGATTTGAAATAATTAATGCTGTCATTGATGAACCAAAGGGCACAATCTTCTCAAGTTATTGGCTTGATAATCTCCACAGACTAACAATATTGGACCGAACGATCTCCTTCCTGGTGAGCCGGCTACCTCAGGGGAAAATTAAAGGACCTTTGACTTCCTCTCGTGTAAATCACTGGGAGATTGCGTTATTTTCATCTTTTTTTAAAGCTTGTAAAATATATCCGGGAGAAAAGTATGGAAAATAATGATGATGAAATCGCTGCCCTTTTTCTGATGGACATGAAGCAATCCGGATTACATATTAACCATGGGGAGTTTCGTTCAAGTGACAAGTTGCGATTTGCATGTGGATAATAAGTTGTTTGAAAGGTGGAATTATGACATTATGATTTCATTAAATCTTTTTATTTCGAGCTTTGTTATGATTTTTTTTTATCAAGACATGGAAGGAAACATTGATTGACTCGATAGCACTGCGGCGGTGATAAGTCCCTCCTCGCACATCGTATGCAAATTTTCTAACAGTTTTCTGACTGTTTTCAGATGATTTGGAATATCTTAATTCCTGTCACAAGGAAATGATAACTGCCCGAATCTGTTCTTTGTGAGGAGATGCCTATGTAGTTCAAATTGCTATTCTTCCAACTTGGTTTTACATGTAGTACTGCAGCTGACAAGTTACGATTTATACTCTCAGATTCTCAGTGTTTACGAGCGTTCAATTAAGGTTTTCCTCTTTTTTTTTGGTTGTTTTTACTTCAGAAAGCGGAAATCTGCTGACATATCAGAAAAACATCTATTTACTGTTTTCTTATGAGCGACCGATGGAAACTTCATGGAGAAATACAGCGTCACGCCATCGTGATAACTTACATGTTTATGACAAATGAGCGGTGTGAGGATACTTTCCTGTAGATCAGCCGACTTTAACATGTTTAAAATGACATACAAGTATAACAGTGTATCTTCAGAGGACTTCGGGTCGCTCAAATTCCCATGAAAGAAGGTACAACACTCGGAACCTGGACAATATGCACACGATTTGAGGTATATGTTTGTAGTTACGTCGAGTAGTCCTCCATGAAGTTTGATCAATTTTTTTAAAAAGATGACAACCAGAGGCGAGGTTTCTCTTCGGGATATTACACATAAAATAACATTCTTCCAAAGCCTCGCTCGTTTCATTTATCTGAAACATTTGTTGTTGAGAACATTAGATGTAAACATCGCCAAATTATGCAATATCTGATTTTGAGCTTTTTTTTTTTGAACTGCCCTATAAAGAGTAGGGCAGGCCCCGCAGAGATTTTTTTACATATTTAAAAACTAAAATATTGTAACCAGCTAGGTGGGTAGTTTCAGTTCCAGTATTGGTGTACTTTTGGAGAAATTCAGATAAACGTTTTCCCTGTTTTACCCGACAACCAAAATGACCGAAACTTTACCGAGATGAATAATCTATTGGTGTGTTCACATTCACTCCCAGGGAATTGAATGAATCAAAGTGTAGACGAATGATGTCACTATATATGGTACAAGTGCCAATTTGTAATGTTTTAATTTAGCTTGAGATAGAGAAATAAACATTTCACTCTTTTTTTTGCGACGTTTTTTGTATGAAAATGAGGCCCCAGGCCTCGAACAAGCAGCTGTTGTTACCATGGCAACAAGAGTGCTGCGACCTTTAAAAAGGGCATTTTTGTGCATCCCCCCTGAGTGCCTAACTGCATGCAAAATTTGAAGGGGGGTTGAAAATTTCCATTTCCCAAGATGTTTGATTCTTACAGAGACTCGTACTTAAAAGGGTAGCTCATTATGGTCTTAGCCCCAAGAGAGAGAAGACCTGCTGTGTAATTTGGTGTACCAGCATTGTTATTTCATCCATCAAATTTTTGAAGTTATGCTAATTTTTTCACCATTTCGCAAACCAATGTTTTTAACGATTTTCTTATTCTTTTGTCAATAATTTTTTTTGAAGTTCTTAGACAGCAGAATTAGCTGAAAAAGCCTAGAAGGGTTCTTTTATTCCACAAATTTGTCAACTTCATAAAAATTTTCTTGACCTGCGACATATGTACGCAATACCTGCGGAATAGGAAACCAATGTTATATCCCTTTTTGTGATATGAAGATACCTCGTACTTACGTGGAGAGTACACTAGAGATCTAAATACCCAAAGACCCCAACCGAGCATCACGCCAGGAGTTAGAAGTATAATTATTGTATACTAAACAACCTACTGAAAGTGAGTATCACTCCTTTATCTCTCTAATGGTTGCCTGGGGCGTGATTCTTTTCTCTTTGTACTCCTCTACATGGTCCCCTATACTTTTCGTTTAATTTTTTTAATAATTACAGCTGCTGACAATTTTAAAGAGCCAAAATACTTATTAAGCCAAAATTACAAGCCTGACTCGTCCCGCTAGAGCTACAACAGTTACGGTAAAAACTCTACGCTTTTGAGACTGAAATAAACGGTGTATTTTAAATCTCGAGCACTAGACAGGAACAATAATTTATTTGTTAGTAACATTTTTTTGAATGACTGTTGTGACAGCACCCATAGTTGCAAACCGACAAATATTGACTGAGGAGTCTTTAAAAAAGTAGTTTAAATTTCTCTCTATAACTAGTCTGTGGTAATCGTGTGCTATTATCACCCAAACAAAAAATGATGATATTAATAATTAACTCACTGCATCAATATTCTAACCTGTGAAATGCTTTGTAAATAGACCAAAATCTTTATTAGTTATGTAAGTCTCGGCCTCGGCCTCTGCATTTCATGAACAAGCTGCAAAGTACTGGATAGTAACCGATTATGGGGTGTTGTATGTGGGGTTTGACGCAAATTAAAATCCTATACTCTAATATATTAGCATATTATGCTGAACTTTTTTTACGAGCATCTGCATCAATGCATAGTCATGTTCCTTGCTAAGTACAAGTTTTACGGCTTTTTTGGCAAGCTTCTAGAATTATAGGATGTCAGGGAAAACCTTCAAACATTGATTTTTATCATCTTAGTCCTTTTGCAATTGTCATTTCACTTTGTAGCCGATCCTTCCTATCATTAGAAAAACCTGAGTAAAACTCTAGAAGTTCGACATGTCTTAGCTTAACAGCCCATAAGAAATGATAATCGAGTCTTCTTACGCTGCTGAGGACGAGGAGGTATAAAGAACATTGCGTGCAAGAGATAATATCCTTTCTTGCTTCGTGGTAGTTTTTTCATTATTCCTTCAGGGTGAGATCGATATCAGCTATCATTGTTATGAAAAAATGAAGGGTTTTCTTTGTTTTTAAGAATTATTGCCAGTTATAACCACAAAATTCTTGCTGTGTGTTATGACTTTTAAAAATTTTTCAAGCCACCACGATATGAAATCAAGTAAAATTAATCTTAAGAACTACGTAGAAATGAGGAGATGTTTTGTAATAACACGACTGAAACTGTCTACTGTGGCCACAAACGGTTGAAATATAAAAATGTTGATAACACCATGGTTTTTAAATGAAGTAGCTTTAAACTCCATCTCTGGTTTTGAATTATATCGAAAAAAAACAAGCATTTATTTTTTCTTTTCAAACTTATACAACACGGAATTCATTTAAAGACGTGCAGGGCTTCTCTTCATTCATATTTTAAGAATGTAGGACGCCTTTTCTCCCATGAAATTTTAATGTTTTCATTCAATGGATCGTACGTTCCTCTTTTTTTTAAGTTCATGAAATTAATTACTCTTGACGACTCGTGTCCACGAAAATAATTTACAACAGAATGATGATACGAAAATGAAGTATAACTAAATCAAAAAGGCCTGTGTAGAGGTTCGATGTGTAAAAATAAATAGTTCATTTAAGCTGGTAATTACTTTTTTTTTGCGTAATAACTGCGTACCTGTAAGGAACAAAAGCCTGTTATTCCTTATTCTTAATTAACCTCTTAGGGTGCGTGCGATTCTTTTCATCGTTACAGAGTCTTCTTTATATTTACGGCAAGTGGCAAGTTTAAGAGAGTACCGGCGCTGCACCGGTATCGCAGAGGTCATGGATTCAAATCCCGTATGGGTCTGAATTTTTTTCAGGTCCTATTTTCAACTACTCATTTCAGTAGTGTTCTTAGCTCCGAGGATCTCTTAATTTCGTCTCTTCGCCGCAGTACAAATATATGAATTTCATATATCTACAATCATCATTAGAGTAGAATATGTTTCTATTTACCCAAAAGTAACACTCGAGACGCTCAGACTGCTATGAAAAGTTGCGATATTTATAAATAAATTCTAAAACCGTTTCCAGACTTAAAAAATAGCACTGTGATATATTCTCAAGGACCAGACAGGAACGAGAAATTAGTTATCAATTAAGAGTATTCTATTGACTACTATAACTTCAGCTGCAATTATGAGGCAACAAATGCTAATGACAGCATTCTTTGTAATGCGTTTTGAATTTCTTACCGGAGAGGTGCTGCATCTTAAAAAGGTGAGCCAGTTTTCTTTAACTCTAGTGAACACTCCAAGAGTGAAAAAACTATATTAAACTATTCGAAACATACAACTTCTACATTTTGAGAAAACCAAAAAGGAAAATAAATTGTTCGAACGAATTCGATGCGATAATCCCTCGAATCTGGATAAAAATTTAACTGAAAGCGATTAGTTTTGAGTTTTGCAGTCCTTTTAAAGGATTTGCTTTTCCTTTTCTGCTGACGGGTAAGATGTTAACTTTGACCTGATATTTCTAATTCTCCAACTAACAAAGTAAGGGTTTTTTTTCTTGAAAGCAACCGATTTAAGCTTTAAAGATGAGCTTTACATCAATTTTTTCAAACAATTTGTCCAAAAAGGACATGTTCATTCATATTGGAAATACTCTGTATCACATCTCGAATTTCACGTTTGTAATGCAGCATAATCGATGTGAATAAAGCAATAATGTTCTTCGCAAGTGAAAGTTCAAAATGAAATTTCTTTTATCGACTTTCCACGACTTCTTTTGCGGCGCAAAGTTTTGGAACACTTTTCTTTCGTTAATTTTACGCGAGAGAGAATTCAACAATACGCCAGTTTATAATCTGGCTTAGAGTCACTGCGGAAGGCCTATTTGGTACACCGTTTTATTTTCTCGCTGATTAGAGGTGCTATTTCACAGCAATTTGTGGCGGCGTAATAATGCTTTCCAAAATCTCTCAGTTTCAAAACATGACCAAAATTTATCACATAGAACATTAACCCACCAACAATATTTCCATAGGGTCATTTTTTTCTTCAGTACAGTAGCTGCGAGGAAGCACCGAATAGCAGCTTTGATTGTTATCTCTAAAAGGCCTGTGTATTTGTTTTAACACGACGATGGTCGAATTCTACTTTGGTTCTACTTTCCTCAACGGTTTTGAGGTTTTGCGGTGCCTCAAAGAGGTCAAATGAAAAAAAATTGTACCAAAAGTCGTGCGGGAACTTGTTTTATTCTGCATGTGCAGAGGGCTGGAGTAGTCATTAAGACTAACTTCAACATCAAAAAAGAGAATAAATTGATAGCGTTCACGTAAGTTTTGGCAACAAAGGAATCATTATCTTCACCTTGGATAAATGATTCGAGACAACTTTTCTCTCAGTATTTTTGGGGTTCAGTCACAAAATATTTTTTCGGAATAAATAGTAAGAGAATGAAGTTCAAATTGCTTGACCAATCGTACTTATTTTCTGCTTCGAGAAGTGTAATCTTCAGGACTTAATTATCTTCAAGCCCCACAGGTGTTCTCAGTCGGTTTTAATTTGCGTCCACGGGGCGTCTTTCCTACAATAGAAACCTCATAAGGAGGTTCGGCTAATTTCCATTCTATAAACTGATAAAAAATAAATGTCCTTGATGCATCAGATTCGTAATTTTCGGTCACGGAACTATACTTAAAAAACAATGATTTTTTTTTTTTTTTTAAGGACTTATCTCCAACTTAAATTTCAATGCACAAAGGCTGTGCATTAAGAATCAAAGCTACTTGGTAACGATTTGACGCAAAGTGCTGATCTAATTTCTGGAGAGCTTTTTTAAGTATGTTAACACATCATTCTGAAATGTTTGAGGGCATTCGTTTTTTGAGCAGAGGTGAATTATATATCTTTTAGGCTTCAAAGTTTCTGAAAAGTGATAATCAAGTCTCCCCTGACGTTGGTGAGTGTGGGGGCTCTAAGGAATAATTGCGTGTTTATCATTCGTTATTCCTTTTCGGGGTAAAGTCAAATTCTCTGTCATCATTAAGATGAGAAATAATGTTGTTCTCTGTGCTAATAAAACGGTAAAATCGAACGTGCTTCATCCGTGTGTCGATACATTAAAGAAAAAAATTGCAAGCGTTTGAGCTCCAACATATGGTGCAAAATATTTTATGTAGGACTTCAAAGGGCAGTACTCATCTTTTACCAACACAACCTACGACAAAAAAATTTTCATCTCTAAAAAAGAACAATAGAAATCGACACCAAAGTTTTGCTGCAATTCAAAAAGCCTTTTTCAATTAAAAGCCTCATTTCAATCTATGGATTCATAATGCAAATTCAACCTCACATCTCCTCTCTTAAATTTGATTTAGAGGAGGAATCGAATCATTTTGTTCAAACCGAATCTTTGGCGCAAAAGTTGTGCGACATTGTTTTAATAGGGGTGTCGAAAAATTGCAAGCACAGTAATATTATCGTAAGGA